CACTCTCTTCATTTGAGCATTATGTAATAAGAAAAACAAAATCATGTTTCCAGTGCGGCTAATCAAATAGTCGAGAGGGCAAACATTCAAAGCCATTTGGCAAGCGAAGTCTCTCTGGCCAAGGAAACACAAAGAAACATTCATTTCGGGGAAAGAGGGATAATGGAGGAGGTACTGGCACAAATCAGCTAACAAATGAAGCATTTTACTAAACACAGCTGGAGATGGTAAATCAAAGTTATGTATTGTACTGTAAAATAATTCTACTAAGTTAAAAATCACCTCATTATCAAGATCTCAATTTTTCTGAATGTAGAGTAACAGTTTATTCCTATTAAATGGAGGTAGGTACTTAGATAAAAGAAAAAATATATATTTAAAAACTTATTATACTTAAAAGTAAAACATTTTATTATAGAAAAATTTGTTACGGTTTTTAAAAATACCTAGGCATTAAAAGTCGGACTCAAAATTCATAAGGCCTTTTTATTTTTACATTGAAGGAATTTCTTTGGCATTTTTATAACAAAATATAAGTATCAAGACTTTCGGAATTTATTTTCCTCAGTGGCAGGCCAGGACTAAGACGATTTGTCCAGGCCGCAAATTCAATTTATTTGCGTCTTAAAGCGTCACCAGCGTTATAAAGCAATAAAGCCGGAAAAAGGATTATCTGGCAAGCTGCCTGCTTTTCCTTTGGGTCAGCGAATGTCCCCTGAGTGGGATACTCGGAAAAGTTACTGCAAAAATAGGAAGAGACCCCGCAAAAGTCAGCCAAAGTTGCAAAGCACTCGCTGATAGCGAGCAACAAAGAAGTTTTGTAACCAACTCAAAAAAAATGGGAGAAAGAGAATTATAATGAAACATAAAAATGCCATTCTTAAACGATAGCAAACTTCTTTTCAGACCTTATACTGAACAAATTGCAGCACTCCCCCAAGTGGTTCAATTAATTGCAACTCACACAAAATGCATAATGAGGGCTAAAGGGGGACTTTCAATACAAGACTCGAGGCGAGGCCCTTAGCCCCCCAACTTACAGAGCTATTATATTTCCGCCCTACTCTCCTATCTCCCCCTGAAAATATATCATGCATTATGCAGAATGTGTTGGGGTAAATGATTCCATCGATGCCACAACAAAAGCGGCAAACGAGTGCGTCTCAACAGCGAATTTGCGATGAGTGCGTGAGCACGCAGATTCGAGTGTGTATCAATTAATTTTATCCCTGATAGGGGCTCTCTTCGAGCTACTTATTCACTGGAATTTCGTAACTAACTATGAAAAGCTTTAATTACACCAAATCTGAAAAATGTTGGACCTTTAATAACTATTTTTCGAGATTTGTTTATTATTAAATTTAATAATTTTGTTGGCCCTTTTTATAATTTATTTCAGATTGATTAAAATATTATTAATTATTATTAATAACTTCATTATCACATTAATAATTAATAATTAGTTGAATAAAATTCGGTTAAATAAATAGGATGCCAATAATATGATAACTTGACTTTTGTGGCATAAATACACTGAACCATTGGCCGTGAATTTCGGGAGTTGTTGGCCCCGTTTTCACTGCTCTCCTATGCCGGGGGCCTCATCACTAGTCATTAAAATAGATGTGCATATATGCAAATGGATGTAAGCAGGAGCATATTTCTGAGCCCAGAACTCTCAATCTCAGCGGCGCACAAAAGTAGGCAACAAAAACCGGCGGCGTTTGTTGTTGCTCGCCGCCATTGTTGCCGTCTAGCGGCTTTCAACTTGACGCCAACGCACTTAGGACGGCCCACACACACAGCCAGACTCTCACTCACACGCACACTCGTCACACTCACAAATGCATCATATCTTGACTCATTAACAGCCCCTGAGCGCAGCGCTGTAAAAGCGTTCCAGAGCAGAGATTACTTTTCCTCCTACGCCAAACACTCTGACTGGCATTCTAGTGAGCAGGTCTGCCAATTTGGCTTTTAATCATTTAAATTTAATGTCCTTACAAATTAGGCAGCCCTAAAAGTATGATAAAATATATTAACTTTATAAAACCAACTGGAAAGGTGTAGACTAATATTTAAATTTATGGGTCGTTAAAAAAATCTATTTATAAAACAAAAGACATTCTTATTTATAAAGGCTTTTAAAATATTTTTTTCCAATTTATTTTTAAATAGTTTAATTATTTTGTACGAATAAGTAAATTTGTTTTTGAATTTATTATTTAAATAATGTTTTATAATCGGTTTCTAATTTCAATCAAAATGATTTACCCCAAAATCAAAATATATGTAAATAAATTATCATCACTGGTACTTAGGGCTCTGTATTTGGCGTTTGATTCTTGGCGCTCAGCGCTCAGAATTCAGTGTTCAGTTCAGTAGGTGACACCAATGCGCGTAGGTGTTCTGGCCGGCCCACGACGTCTGGCCTATTTTGCCACATATAGAGGAACGTATAGCTTCACCCGACTGCCACCCAGGCGTCCTCATCCTCGATGCAGTGCACTAGACTGCGTGCACTTGACGCTATTGCTCCACATTTCCTCCAGTTGCGAAAGCTAGGGTGCGTACGTACAGTAGCCGTTAAAATAATAGTGGAGTCAGTCGTTTATTTAGGTGTTATTCGATATTCGTCATATAAAAATTAATAAATCTATTTTTCTTCCGGTTTTTTAGGTATTCAATCCATATTTCACATTCTTAATAATCTTTGTCTTTGCCTTTAAATATTATATTACATTACGCGATTTTTTTTAAAGACAGATAGTAATTAGATCGAGTTGAACTTCACTTAGATAAAAACCTTAATACATTTTTTAATTTTTATTGTAATTCAATTTCGGTTTATTGCTCATAGCTTGGTTTAAGTTATGATTTTGAAGTCATAGAATTTTAACCGCTGCTGGACTCTGGTGCATGTGTATCGACATCCCTTATCCACAAACCCCAACCCCTTAGGTCCAACGACACTCTGGGGGGTGCCATTAGAGTCGCGGTGCGTTGCCATAAAAAAGTTGAGCCAAGTAAGTTAAAACAATTCGCACAGTGCGTGCCGCGAGCTTTCACGTAGATCCCCGATATCCGTATGCTGATGTAAAGTTTTCAGCTGCCTGCGAAGAACTTTTCGAAAATGTTCTTTTCTTACACGTAATTATGCAAAAGTTAAAAGCAGCCATCATCGACTTGACTGGATTTTTTTTGCTTTTTTCATTCTGACGTCTCGCCAGCCAGGCAGCCAGGTAGAAAATCAGTCAGCACTTGAGCTGTCGTTGTCGCGTTAAATTATGCAAAATAAAACCGGGTGGAAAATGCCGGGGCAAGCGTGAGGGAAAAGTTCATTAAAACAAAAAATCCAGGACTCGCATTGGTCATCACACTGCTGAGCATTTACTGTTGTGCGATTTTCCCGTTTTCGTTTTCGGGCGCTATAATTGCGGCTGAGAAATGAATGAAGAGCCAGGGATTCCTGCGAAATGCGGCTGAAATGTGTTTGCCATTTGATGCCAATTGGTTGGAAATTGCGTAAACACGTCGAGTGTGTAAAGTCGGCTGGGATTGAGGGGAAGTAAGTGGTTTTGTGGGCGTGGGACTTTACTCGGACCGCCAGTGTAAGCGTTTAATTGCAAGTGACTTCAAGTGTTGGCCGATTTGATGGGTGGGAAATAATGAGCCGTTTATGTTTACATGAGGCACATGAGCAGAATGTTGGCTGAGATTGCCTGATTTTCTGGAATTTATGTTTGATGTGAGCAAACTATGTAATTGGCAAGGCAAATTCATTCCTAAGATGATCTGTAATTAGATAATTGCGTAAATACCATTTAATAGATTTGCACATTTGAACGGAAGGCTTTTCAAGATATTTCTATTGAAGTTATAAAATTATATTTTCAAAAAACATTTTATTTCTTATCATATCTGGACTGCCATAAATTAATATGTGACATTTATGGTGCAGATATAGTGTAATAAATATTTCCGATCATAAATAAGAATTGCTAATGGTAACGATTACGCCGCTTAAAAGATATTAAATACATATTTACTGAAGATAAACGGGCTCTGTAAATTATTTATTTTTATTGCTCAATTAGGAGACACTTGTCTTCGTCTCTGTCTCTCAGTCGCTCGCATCCTCATACCCACTGTCTGGGGTCCCAGCTATCTGATATCTGATATTTCTCACGCCAAAAGCCGATGGCTATTGTCGCCTCGTTACGCGTTCGTGGCAATGGCAATTGGCCGGCACTTTAAGCGACAAGCCGGCACTTAATTACATGTGTAGTCCGCTCGTGGCATGTCCTCTGCTGTCAATTATGGTGTGTCCGACATGTGTACTGCATCTGCATCGGCACCGTAAAATGGAAGAGGGTTAAGGGACAGTTCCTCCGACAGGGAATGAGTATCAATCACGGCGAACATGTTAAAATAATTTCATTTCACAACCGGAATTAAATGCAGTCGCGTGCAGGGCCCATTTACATGACACGACTATTAAATTAAAAAACATGAATGGACATCGACACAGGCAGTGAAGTGATTTTTTGGGGGAAAGGGCATAAAAGCTGCACTACAAAAAAACATTGGTGTTGTTCTTACTTTTTTTGAGTTTAATAAATTTATAAATGTTTCTAATTGTTATTTTAAATACCTACTTTAAAATCATTTTACTAAGAACTCATTAAATTAAAATATTTTACCTTAATATTTCTTTATAATTGCTTTATTATTTTTATTAAATTTCTTATGTTGTAAAGGTATAATATTCTGTATAAACTAGATTAACTATATTTAAGTAAAAAGCTGAATCTTTTCGAGTGCACCCGTCCACATGCCATCGTTTAGTCGGAGGCAATCGGCGGCTATAAAAATGCTTTATTGACATGCCAGCAATCGCTCAATGTTTGCTTTTAATTTCAGCAGCTGTGCGCTGGCCTGTCATAATTTGTCAATTGCGAGCTAATTGTTTTCCCTTCCCATTAATTGTGTACTTTCAGCCAGAGCCAAAATGATGGCGACGTCACAGGATTATTTCGGCAATCCGTACGCCCTCTTCCGAGGTCCGCCCACAACTTTGAGGCCGCGCGAGTCGCCGCTGGGCGTGGGCCACCCCCACGGTCATGGGCACATCCACAGCCACGCCCATGCCCACGGCCACGGTCACGCCCATTCGCATTATGCGGCCTTGGACTTGCAGACGCCGCACAAGCGGAATATCGAAACGGATGTGCGGGCACCGCCGCCGCCATTGCCGCCGCCACCGCTTCCGCTTCCGGCCGCATCCCCTAGGTAAGCCTCCTGCCCAAAAGAAATGCAAAAAGCATTAGAAATGGGGGAGGAAGAGAGAAAGTGGAGAGATAAACCAAACACCAGATCGAGGACGAGCAAAGAATTGCAGAGAAAACAAAAACCTACACCAAAACCCAACCAATTGATATGCATATCATCAGCAACACACATCAACCTATACACTTCTCTGCTATGTCTGCAATCAACAAAAAACAATTTAAAATTTTTTAAGTTAGTTTGAAAAAGAGTTTAACATGCCCTTAAATAGTCACGCCCAAAAGTAAACTTAGAGTAAAGTTAAATTAGCCAATCATCCTAAAATATCAGCTTTCATTTCGTAACCTTTGCCAATGGACCTTCGACCCATCAAGCAAAAGCAAATTAAATATATAAAACTAGAGAAATAGAGAAATAGAGGGAGAGAAATAAGAGAGAGAAAATCACATAGTAAAAGTGTTTGCTACGCTATTGAAATTGTAAACCACTACAATACACTTTATTTCCTTCGATAAGTATAAGCAAACTAACTGCAAGAAACAACACCAAACTAGAAATATAAATAGGAAAATATTCCACAGCCTAATGCTAATAGCTTAAGATTATCGTAGGTTTAAGGCAGAGCATTTCAGAAAGCACTTGTACCGTTCTAGACTTAAGTAACCAAACGTATACGTAACTCAAGCAATCCAATAACAATAACTAAGTAGACAGTCTTTTTCCTAATATTTATATTAATCAGTCAAAGACCTTGCCCAGCTACATAATAGATTATTAAAATTAATAATACAAATTAATTAATAAACAGTTAGTAGGTATTATTATATAGCCAAAGCCAGAGAAGGAGTCTAAAACAGTTGCATATATATTGGTAGATAAAAACAGCTAAACGAAAGGGTCCACAAGCTACCCATAAATAACCTAAAAAACTTAATCACTTACTAGCCCGAAAAGTAGCTATACAAATAACAGTATACGTAAATCGAAAACGATGAATTTTTCTTAGCTTAAATAACACTCTTTTCAAGCAATACAATACCATAAACATAAACAATAACTAAAAGTTAACGCAGCTACACACACATATTGTATACCAGTTAGTTTATGCCTAACCACTATTAGTAGCCCTAAGTCCTAGGCATAAACCGAGCACCAAGGCGAGATATGCACCCATGTAAAATGCAAAAATTAATTACCAAGAGTACAAACTGTAAAGGAAAAAGGAAAACCCCTATTGAAGCTCAATTGGCCAGCCCGTTAGTCTAGCTCCTAAGTACACATACTAGACCGTAAGCAATTGTAAGGCAAACACTTTTCAAGTGAGCACAAATATCAAGCAAACTGTGAGATTTCGAGGCCATGTGACGATGGAGCAACCCCCCAAAGAAGAGAGATGTTCATCAATCATCAATCAACATTCCCCTAAACCGGAGGAGGAGCTGCTCTTCAATCAACACTCAACCCGAACTGGGCCCCAAAAGCCCAGCAACCTAAAGTTAGTCCATTCTCTAAACTCTAGTAATCAGTTAGCTAGCCACCGTTTCTCTCTCATAATTCTAACTAAATGATAAAAAAAAAACCAAGACAACAATCAACAAACCCACAAAAAATATCCCCACCAACTGGCGCGGTAAGTGAAGAGCCATTTTAATCATAGACTTAAGACCCTAGCCACTGACTAGACAAAGTAGTTGACCAAAGTAGTGAAATCCACCCATAGATGACGGGCGGCATAGAGCCCTTTTTTGGAAGAGTGCAACCGATGATCGTCGCTGCATGTGATAAGCAAGTGATAAACAATCCGTAGAAAAAAACAGGCAATAGGCCCCCATGAACATCCAAACTTAGCTGCATTTTGCGCATGCCAAATGAAAAATAACAAACAATAAATTCCAATGGAAGCTAAAAAAAATACCAACTCCAATCTCAGCCACATGCAACGAAATTCGTTTAATTAACATGCAAGTCAAGTTACACATGCGACTTAATCGGGGGAGAGGAAAAAAATGTGGAGTAATTATTCTCTACCGGCCTCATGGAAATTTGAATTAAGGTATTTTCTTGCGACTATCGCGTTACTTTACCCCTCGTTGGGCGATAATCAATTATAGCGGAAATGTCCCAACAAGCGTCTTAAATATGCAAAAGTGCAATGGCGAGTGGACATGCTAGAGGCACATTAAATTCCTCTCCATAATTGTGGTCACACCTGACCATGGAAATTTTTGATAAATTGGTCACTTTGACAAGTAAAATTTGGGGTATTGTTTCTACACATTTCTTCATCACTTGCAGTTGGTATATTAATTTTTGTCCAGTAACAAAATCTTGTAGATGGAAATTATTATACTGAGATAACATAAATAAAAAAGTGTTTTTTGCAAAAAAAATAAAATACCTTAAGAAATCACATTTTAAATATTTTTTCATATATCTATTTAATGAGTTAACACTTTTTTACAACTCTTTAGACTTAAAAATTGAATTTGGAAACACAAATCACTTGAAGTACATTGCCCAAGAGCATTCCCCTGTGATTTAGATTTTTTGGGCAGTACTGCAAACATGTTCATTTATTGAAAAACTTGTTTTCAACTTGCGCTAAACTTACGGCCAAGTTTTATTTCTCCTGGCTCGTAACTGTGACGTGTGGCATGGCAAGTTGCCAACACTGGTCATGCACTTCCTGTTAAGGGACCTACAGCCGCCATGTGATTAAGTAACACATGTAACTGCCAAAATCGCTGGCCTTTCTCAGGTGTCCTGACGGCTGAGACATGCTAATTTGCCAAATGGCCGCCCCACGGGGCTTAGTTAATAAAATGTTTGAAGCACAAAACTATTTGGTGGATAATTGCCAAGCCTAAAAACTATAATAAACGAAAATGCCCTTTTTATTGTAGGTCTTAAAGGCTGTTAAAATTTAGATTGCAGCCTATGATTTTTTTAATGGAATTTTCTACGTTTTTAGTAATTTACCCACACAACTTCCAAATTGAAAAGCCCTCTTAAGTTCCTGTCTTAGAAGTGGGTGGAAATATTAATAATTTCCAATAAAGGGTATTTTATACCTGCAGTTTTCTATGGCTTCATTTTCATTAGGTTAAATACAGCTCATTTAATTTACTTAGCCAACAGGCTTTCGCTGGTTTTCGCCTAAGCCAAGCCGGGCTAAGCGACAATTTGGTGGCGTTTACGAATGTACCAGCATAAAATTGCTGAGGGCCGAGCGTAATCATAATAACCATAATAATAATGGCGCGATGGCCCCAAGTCATGTTACACCATTAGCGCAGAATCCAAGGAGCGGAGGACCCGAGGAGCCGAGGAGCTGTACTGTAAATGCAATTTAATTCCGAGTCTGTGAGCGCCACTTGGCCAGGTCTAATGAATGCAGCAGACTGTGGAACTGGCACAGGACGAATACAAAAGACCGGAGTTTCCTCCGAAGTTTCGTCCCTCTGTTTAAGGCCATGTTGTTTGGGGTGGCAAACAAGCCAGCCAGCATCCTGCCGAGAAAAGTGCGTATCTCATCCTGGCTCCCTCCTTTTCCTGAATCGCCCATGGATATATGGCCAGCTGAATACCTGTAATTAAAAACTGGGCACCCCAGATCCTTCCGCTCAAATTATGTGCACACTTATCCGGCAGGAAGCTCAGGCAATAGAGGCAAAATTGTTATTGACCTGCTGCAAACACTTTGGAGTGTCGGGCTAAAATTGCGGAAGTGCTGTTCAAAATAAGAATGCACCTTTGTAACACCTGCGGCCACTGTCGAAGTCAATAAATCACAATTCAGACAATCAGTTAACTAGGCAAAAAAAGTTTAAAGCCATAGAAGGTTTACTCCTGAATCTAACCTGTTAACACATTTTCCAGCTGACTTTTTGCCACTTGCTGTTTCCTGCTGGTTCAACTGTTCAACTTTTTGTGTGCTTAAATGTTTTTCGGGCCCTTTCCCTGCCAGAAAACAAGGCAGCAGTGGTTTCTTTTCGCCATGGCAATTGCGCTGGAAAAAATTCTAATGCCAGTTGTTTATAATATTTAAGCGCCTACAACTCAGAGACTTGTAAATATATTAAAAATATTTATTTTGTAAATTGTGTTCTACTTTCTTACCTTTTCTAAGCATTTTTGCAACATCGAAAATAGCGATAAATATTCTTTCGCTTTCTCTCAGTGTATCTGCCCTCTTCCCTCGCCACATCCTTTGTGGCAAAGTTTGTCTGTGCCGTGGCGTAAACGCAGCGTGTCGCCCAACAGCCCCCGCTAATTGGATAAGAATCAGATGTTGGCACTTCATAAACTGCCACCGTTGGCTCATTAGGGTCTTGGGTCAAGACAGGGTCGGGAAAGTCAGCGGAGTTAGCCTTGGCATTTTAGCAAGGGTCAGCAATGTATTTAAGCGAAAAGTTCCATCTCTTCTAACAGATTTTAGTTGGAAAATATAAATAAATATTTTTGATTGCAATAAGCGCAATAATAAAACTAAATTTACTCATTCATAAACTTTGAAGTCCAGAGAAAGACTCTTTTATCAACACGTTTTTAATTTACGCAACTTGCAAAGGCACTCCAATTAAACTATCGCATTTTTGTAATCACTTTCAATTTTATTTCGTTTTTCTTTATATGGAGCGTCATTCCAAAAGAAATCTCCTAAAATGCATTTGAATTTTTAAAAATAAAACTTTATTTAAACTGCATTTTTGATTTATTGCGCCAAAAGCTCTGACTAATTGCCAAGAAATCAGAGTGCAGAGGCTAACAAATTGCCGATGAATTTGATTTCAAGTTTTGCCATTCGGCTACCATTTAATAATTTATTAAAGCAATGCCTTCAAAGGAAAGCTTAGGCACAGACAAACAAACGGAGGCAAAGACCCTGAGTCAGACAAAACGAAATGCTCTTTATAATTAACTTTTACCAACTGGCAAGTAAGGATTTTCCTGTGTGAGCTCTGTGAAGGTGTCACCCAAAAATAATGGTGGCAAACGAAAAA